GGTGAGCGAGTGAGCGAGTGAGTGTACTTGTGTGTGTGTGTGTGTGTGAATATTTGTGTTGAAGATTGTGAGTGTTGATGGAGGAGTTGGGAGTTAGTGAATGACTGAGTGTGGATGTTCTGTGATGTGACGAGCTGTGTCGGTTGTAATGTGATAGGTGGTGTTGGTGTTTAGTTGTATGTATGTGGGTGTATTGGTGATATGTAATTGGTGGTGTGTTTTGTATTTTGCAGGTTACGTGTGCACGAGTGTTGAATGTGGGATGAGATGGTTGATTGTGTTATAGAATTGTGAGTATGTGTGTTGTTTGTGTTGGTTGTGTTGGTGGTGGTATTGAAGTGTGAAGTGATGTGTTATTGTGCGAGCGCACGTCCGGCGATAGCTCAGTTGGTAGAGCGGAGGACTGTAGATTGGTGCAGTGATCCTTAGGTCGGTGGTTCGAATCCGCCTCGCCGGAGATGGTGGGCTTTTGGTCCGACATCACTCGATGCACCACACCGACCAGTCAATCACGAGCCACACTGTGTCGTTGGTCGCCTCACCACAATGAATCGAATCGCCAGCGACCAGCACATCACCAACGTGTCTGAGCGTGCACTCACCACCCACTCATGGTGTGCGAAGGTGAGGCAGCCGACTGGTCGTCTGCGTCGTCTGAACAACCAGTACCCTGTCTTGCTGATCATCGCATCACACTCCACTATTGCCCATCCATTATGTCGCATCACACCGATCGTCCACTACACGTCCCGTGCCTTCATCTACTAGACCGAGTCCGGTTCAATATCTTTGAGGTGGTCAGACGAACACACACCGAGTGATCCATTGAATATCCTAATGAGTGTGTGAGTGAGTTAATGCATGAATGAATGCATGAATGAATGCATGAATGAATGCATGATAGCGTGAAGGGGTGAATGGTTGATTAAAAGTGCGACACACCACTGATTGACTCGGTGCTCGCTTGTAAAACACTGAGACTGTGTACAGCAGTGATGCTGAACTGATTCTGACAATGAATACTTGTTTGTGCGTGTGTCTATGATGGTCAGTGTGGATTGTTCTGACGATGATCGTTCGCATGAGTGTAGTCGTTGAAGAGAGATTGGTGTGGGACAGATGGTTGTAGTGTAGTATGAGTGGAGTTGTTTCTGTATGGAGTAGATGTGATTCAGTATGTGGCATAGTTGTGTATGATGGTTTTGAGTGTGTGAGTGTATATATATATATGTGTGTGTGTGTGTGTTTGTGTGTTTGTGTGTTCGTGGATTGATGAATGATTGAATTGAATTTGGATTGTGTTGATGGTGGACACAGTTGTGTTGGTTGTTCGTGTTGAGTGATGTGTGTACCGACATGATGATTTGTAACGTGGTGTGAATGAACGGTGTACATGTGGATGTATAGAGTGAATGTGTATGTTTGGGTGATTAGGGAGATGTGTATGACGAAGTGTAGTTTGGATTAGTGTGTGTGATGCAGCACAGACGAGGTTGATTGTGTCCTCGGTAGACTGAGGTGAGACGTGTGTTTGTGTGAATGAGTGAGTGAGTGAGTGATAGAGTTATTGAGAGAGTGAGAGAGTGAGTGAGTGAGGAGTGAGTGATGAGTGAGCGAGTGAGTGTACTTGTGTGTGTGTGTGTGTGAATATTTGTGTTGAAGATTGTGAGTGTTGATGGAGGAGTTGGGAGTTAGTGAATGACTGAGTGTGGATGTTCTGTGATGTGACGAGCTGTGTCGGTTGTAATGTGATAGGTGGTGTTGGTGTTTAGTTGTATGTATGTGGGTGTATTGGTGATATGTAATTGGTGGTGTGTTTTGTATTTTGCAGGTTACGTGTGCACGAGTGTTGAATGTGGGATGAGATGGTTGATTGTGTTATAGAATTGTGAGTATGTGTGTTGTTTGTGTTGGTTGTGTTGGTGGTGGTATTGAAGTGTGAAGTGATGTGTTATTGTGCGAGCGCACGTCCGGCGATAGCTCAGTTGGTAGAGCGGAGGACTGTAGATTGGTGCAGTGATCCTTAGGTCGGTGGTTCGAATCCGCCTCGCCGGAGATGGTGGGCTTTTGGTCCGACATCACTCGATGCACCACACCGACCAGTCAATCACGAGCCACACTGTGTCGTTGGTCGCCTCACCACAATGAATCGAATCGCCAGCGACCAGCACATCACCAACGTGTCTGAGCGTGCACTCACCACCCACTCATGGTGTGCGAAGGTGAGGCAGCCGACTGGTCGTCTGCGTCGTCTGAACAACCAGTACCCTGTCTTGCTGATCATCGCATCACACTCCACTATTGCCCATCCATTATGTCGCATCACACCGATCGTCCACTACACGTCCCGTGCCTTCATCTACTAGACCGAGTCCGGTTCAATATCTTTGAGGTGGTCAGACGAACACACACCGAGTGATCCATTGAATATCCTAATGAGTGTGTGAGTGAGTTAATGCATGAATGAATGCATGAATGAATGCATGAATGAATGCATGATAGCGTGAAGGGGTGAATGATTGATTAAGAGTGCGACACACCACTGATTGACTCGGTGCTCGCTTGTAAAACACTGAGACTGTGTACAGCAGTGATGCTGAACTGATTCTGACAATGAATACTTGTTTGTGCGTGTGTCTATGATGGTCAGTGTGGATTGTTCTGACGATGATCGTTCGCATGAGTGTAGTCGTTGAAGAGAGATTGGTGTGGGACAGATGGTTGTAGTGTAGTATGAGTGGAGTTGTTTCTGTATGGAGTAGATGTGATTCAGTATGTGGCATAGTTGTGTATGATGGTTTTGAGTGTGTGAGTGTATATATATATATATATGTGTGTGTGTGTGTGCTTGTGTGTTTGTGTGTTCGTGGATTGATGAATGATTGAATTGAATTTGGATTGTGTTGATGGTGGACACAGTTGTGTTGGTTGTTCGTGTTGAGTGATGTGTGTACCGACATGATGATTTGTAACGTGGTGTGAATGAACGGTGTACATGTGGATGTATAGAGTGAATGTGTATGTTTGGGTGATTAGGGAGATGTGTATGACGAAGTGTAGTTTGGATTAGTGTGTGTGATGCAGCACAGACGAGGTTGATTGTGTCCTCGGTAGACTGAGGTGAGACGTGTGTTTGTGTGAATGAGTGAGTGAGTGAATGAGTGAGCGAGTGAGAGGGTGAGCGAGTGAGCGAGTGAGTGTACTTGTGTGTGTGTGTGTGTGTGAATATTTGTGTTGAAGATTGTGAGTGTTGATGGAGGAGTTGGGAGTTAGTGAATGACTGAGTGTGGATGTTCTGTGATGTGACGAGCTGTGTCGGTTGTAATGTGATAGGTGGTGTTGGTGTTTAGTTGTATGTATGTGGGTGTATTGGTGATATGTAATTGGTGGTGTGTTTTGTATTTTGCAGGTTACGTGTGCACGAGTGTTGAGTGTGGGATGAGATGGTTGATTGTGTTATAGAATTGTGAGTATGTGTGTTGTTTGTGTTGGTTGTGTTGGTGGTGGTATTGAAGTGTGAAGTGATGTGTTATTGTGCGAGCGCACGTCCGGCGATAGCTCAGTTGGTAGAGCGGAGGACTGTAGATTGGTGCAGTGATCCTTAGGTCGGTGGTTCGAATCCGCCTCGCCGGAGATGGTGGGCTTTTGGTCCGACATCACTCGATGCACCACACCGACCAGTCAATCACGAGCCACACTGTGTCGTTGGTCGCCTCACCACAATGAATCGAATCGCCAGCGACCAGCACATCACCAACGTGTCTGAGCGTGCACTCACCACCCACTCATGGTGTGCGAAGGTGAGGCAGCCGACTGGTCGTCTGCGTCGTCTGAACAACCAGTACCCTGTCTTGCTGATCATCGCATCACACTCCACTATTGCCCATCCATTATGTCGCATCACACCGATCGTCCACTACACGTCCCGTGCCTTCATCTACTAGACCGAGTCCGGTTCAATATCTTTGAGGTGGTCAGACGAACACACACCGAGTGATCCATTGAATATCCTAATGAGTGTGTGAGTGAGTTAATGCATGAATGAATGCATGAATGAATGCATGATAGCGTGAAGGGGTGAATGATTGATTAAGAGTGCGACACACCACTGATTGACTCGGTGCTCGCTTGTAAAACACTGAGACTGTGTACAGCAGTGATGCTGAACTGATTCTGACAATGAATACTTGTTTGTGCGTGTGTCTATGATGGTCAGTGTGGATTGTTCTGACGATGATCGTTCGCATGAGTGTAGTCGTTGAAGAGAGATTGGTGTGGGACAGATGGTTGTAGTGTAGTATGAGTGGAGTTGTTTCTGTATGGAGTAGATGTGATTCAGTATGTGGCATAGTTGTGTATGATGGTTTTGAGTGTGTGAGTGTATATATATATATATGTGTGTGTGTGTGTGTTTGTGTGTTTGTGTGTTCGTGGATTGATGAATGATTGAATTGAATTTGGATTGTGTTGATGGTGGACACAGTTGTGTTGGTTGTTCGTGTTGAGTGATGTGTGTACCGACATGATGATTTGTAACGTGGTGTGAATGAACGGTGTACATGTTGATGCATAGAGTGAATGTGTATGTTTGGGTGATTAGGGAGATGTGTATGACGAAGTGTAGTTTGGATTAGTGTGTGTGATGCAGCACAGACGAGGTTGATTGTGTCCTCGGT